CAAGAGAACTTTGCACTCAATGCACCAAGTGCAAATGGATCTTCACTTCTGTTCCTCACGTTGCATGTTCTTACAAACAATGCAGCAACGTTTACCCTTTTCACATGTTCCTGTGCTTGGCATATAACCAAGTTTGTGTACATAAAGGTAACCTTTACACATGAGTCTGTCAGGAAGTGCGCGAGGCATTGTTGCTGGCACCTCACATGGCACAACAATGCCCTCTACCCCATATTTCACCAGCAATTGCAACATTAAATGTACGCTCCAAATACCAAAAACACTGGAGTACTTGTGTGGCAGGATTGTAAGAATTTTGTCCCACAAATTCCAACATTTGATGATACCGATGTTGGTGTGACACCCCTATTCCCCTGTACTGGCGATGATATGCATGAAATTGATTTTTTTATGGCATATTTTGATCAGCCATTCATGGACCATCTCGTTACAGAGACAAACAGATACGCTCTGGCACTAATTGACTCTGGAATTTTACCTGCCTCTTGATTAACACGTTGGAAAGACACGACTATTTAGGAAATAAATGTGTTTTTAGCGTTGTGCATGATGATGAGGCATACGGATAAACACGTGATCCAGGATTATTGGAACAATGACAGCCATGCTCCAACCCCCTTATTCAACAAGTCAACAGTCACGTGATAGTTACCTGCTGCTTCTCAGGTGCCTGCACTTTGAGAACAATGCTAATGAAGACAAACACGACACACTGTGGAAAGTGCGGAAGATATGTAATGATTTGAGAGGAAAGTGCCGTGACTATTTGTACCAACCCAGAATGTCGTGATAGATGAACTTCTATTTCTGTGCAAGAGACGACTGGCGGCCTAGCAGTACATTCCATCAAAGCAGCAAAGGTTTGGAATAAAGTTCTTCTTGCTATGTGACTGAGAAACTGGTATGGTCATGGTCATGATATTGTATTCAGGTACGGACTTTGACATACCAGGTCAAGAGCCACATGCGTTCTCAGGCTGTCGTGATAACACTCATGGAACTATTGCTGAACAAGGGGCATATCCTGTACACGGACAACTTCTATACCAGTTCCTTGCTGACCAGATTCCTCCTTGACCACAACACGGCGTATGTGGCACTGTCAAGGTCCACATGAGGGAAATGCCAGTGTTTGGCATTGGTATTGCAGTGGGTGAATGCCAGCTGCAAAGTGTGATAAAATGTTATCTGTGCTGTGGAGGGGCAGACGCGAGGTGAATATGTTGACAACTATTCACACCGGTACAATGTTGGACAGTGGCAAAGTAAACCTTGCAACAAGGGTGAAAATGTATAAACCTGATTGTGTCATTGACTACAATGTAAATATGCGTTTAGTAGATAAAACTTACATGATGGTTGGTGCCATCGAGTGCATGAGAAAATCAGTGAAGTGGACCAAGAAATTGTTTTTCCACCTTCTTGGCATTACAGTGCTGAACTGGTTCAACACTTATCACGGAATCTGTTGGTATATGTGAGGCGTCAGGTGGTGTTGCCGGCGCGGTACAGAAACGTGGTACTGAAGCTTGCACACTCAGTGGATCCCGCGGGTCACTTAGGAGTAACCAAGACCTTAACCGGCTTCGGGAACATTTTTATTGGCCGGGCATGGACGCGGATGTAAGAAAAATCTGCAAGACGTGTTTCTCGTGCCAGAGGGCAGGGAAGAAAGTCCCTGCCATCCCGAAAGCACCTTTGGTTCCAGTTCCTGCGTTTGGCTAAGCGTTTGAACTCCTAATAATCGACGTAGTTGGACCATTACCTAGGACAAGAAGGGGAAATAATTATTTATTGACCATCATGTGTGCTTCGACGAGATTTCCGGAGGCGATCCCAGTGCGGAAAGTGACATCGAGATGCGTCATGGGACACCTTCAGCGGTTCTTTGCTTGGGTAGGAGTGCCCAAGGAGATCCAGTCCGACTGCGGAAGTGTTTTCCAGTCGAAGTGGTTTAGGCAGGCTATTGCAAGGTGGGGACTAGACCCAACTACGATCGTCACCGTATAGACCTCAATCACAGGGGATTGAGATGTTCCACTCCACTCAACTCTGAAGACCGTCTTAAGGGATGTGCGGAACAGAAAGCGGAATGGGATGAGGCTGTCTATCCAGCCATGTTTGCAATCTGAGATGCTACAGTTGAGTCTCTGGGATTCTCTCCATTCCAACTTGTGTTTGGGCACAAAGTAAGGAGCCCGTTATTGATGCTGAAGGAGCAGTTAGCGGCGGAGAAGATGTTAGTAACAGTAGAGGAGTATATGCAGAAATTCTATGAACGATTGAAAACGGCGAAGGAGCTGGCTACTGAGCACCTGAAAACAGCTCAAGAGAAGATGTCGATCTGGTACGACAAGAAGGCTGTCGAGGCGGCGGGGGGTTCGAGGCGGGGGCCAGAGTGATGATGTTGCTACCTGGTAGAGGTAGAGTGACGGAATCACGCTTTGGTGGTCCATACTCGGTTGTTCGGCGTGTGGGTCCTGTAAGTTATGAGATCAGCAAGCCAAATCGCCCCCACAAGACACAGGTGTGTCATATCAACCGTTTAAAGCCATACTTCCCAGAGGAGCAAGAGAGTGCGAGAGTGAAGGGAGGTTATCTTGAGGTTATCTTGAGATGATTTCGGGGCCTTAGTGTCCCCGCGGCCCGGTTCTCGACCAGGCCTCCACCCCCAGGAAGCAGCCCGTGACAACTGACTTAACTCCCAGGTACCTATTTACTGCTAGGTAACAGGGGCATTCAGGGTGAAAGAAACTTTGCCCATTTGTTTCTGCCTCGTGGGGGAATCGAACCCGCGCCACAGAATTACGAGTCCTGCGCGCTATCCACCAGGCTACGAGGCCCCCCTGTGTTGTGGGAGCAACACAGTCGCAAGAAGGGAAATTGGTTCTGTGTATGGAGATGAGCCAAGTGTTGCCAGCAGAGGAAGGAAAGTGGGCCCGTGCCGATGGTACGCGCCTGTCAAATCCAGAAAGTTTGATTCATCTAGAAGAGAGGCTGCGTCATCTGGAAAAAGGGCAAAGGAGAGATCTAGTGACCCTAATAAGACATAACAAGTCACTCTTCACAGATGTGCCCCGACGGCACAAGAGTGTGGTGCACGAGGTGGACGTTCACGGAGGAAAGCCAATCAAGCAGAGCGCTTATCGGGTGAGTCCTGAGAAGAGGAAGATCATGCGACAGGAGGTGGAGTGTCTGCTAGTGAATGTTCTCGCTAAGCCCAGCAACGGTGAGTGGAGCTCGCCCTGTGTGCTGGTCAAGAAGCATGACCGATCATATCGTTTTTGCACCGACTATCGCAAAGTGAATTCCATAATCGTGTCGGATTCGCACCCCGATGCCCCGAATAAGTGATTGTGTCGACCAAGTGGGAAACGCAAGGTCGACCTGCTGAATACTTCACATTTGTGTTCCTCACGTGTGCCCCAAAGAATGAGGTGATTTGATAAAATACTATGCCAAGATTACAATCAGAGTGCCAGCGGGTTGATGGGTAAATAGCCTTACATCATTACGCTAGAATGCGTAAGCTTCTAGCATTAATTTAACCATATTCAGAGTCATATCTGTCACATAGATGATTGTCTATATGTCGATGTACATAGATTTTGCATTGTTTACGGTGTACCATTCAGGCAGGTGAATTGTGACGACGTGAGACAGACAGCAAGATACCTGGTGAAACATGAGGCATGTGATGATTCTCCTCGCGGATCGCCTGATCCGCGAGGAGAATTGGTTTATGTGATCTGGACGTGTTCAATGCTTGTTAACCAGGCTGCATTTTACGAAACAGCTAAGTTTCGTAGCTAACATACAACTCATTACTAACCATTTTTTAAATCTTAGCATAACTGTTAATAACCAAATTTTATCAATCAATTGGGTTTAATTTGGTAGAATATATTACTAAAACCACCCCAAACGTGTAAAGATAAGCTTCTTGGGGGAAATTTAAAATCATACAGTCCACTATCGTAAGAAATAAATTATTAACAAACTAAATTATAAATCATTAAAGAAATTAATTAATAATATTAATTCAAATATATAATAAAATCTCTCTGGTCAGTTTTCCCAACATATCCATTCATAAGTAACTATCAGCGTCCCAACCATTCATAACTCACTATCAGTGTCCCAACCATTCATAACTCACTATCAGTGTCCCAACCATTCATAACTCACTATCAGTGTCCCAACCATTCATAACTCACTATCAGTGTCCCAACCATTCATAACTCACTATCAGTGTCCCAACAATTCATAACTCATTATCAGTGTCCCAACCATTCATAACTCACTATCAGTGTCCCAGCCATTCATAAATCATCGTTGTTATGATCGTAGTCTAAATTCAGGCCTTACTCTCATCAAGTCATTTATTCCCACCTAGTGAAATACAAGATGGTCCAAAGAATGTTTTAAGTCTTAAAGAAAAGTGAGAAAAGTAGGACTTTGGGGGTAAATTTAGTTTAAAAGTATTGGCATTGGCTAACAACCTTTCGAACAAGGTGGAGAAGCGAAAAGTGACTGGTGACTGTTAATAGTGAAACCCAACAGGGTGGCCTCGGTCAGAATAGGGCAGTGATTACGTCACCTGCTGACGGTGGCATGTAATACGTAGAGTGATGATCATCTGTCAAATGACCGAGGCAGTCCCGACGCGACAAGTGAGCCGGTAGGTCGAGTCCAGAGATAATGATGTACATGGTAAAATGAGGTTTGTAGCATTCAACAGGATCACCAGGGAATGTAGTGACTATTCATCTTTTTGCCTGGGAGCAAGGCCAGTGATTGTTGTGAGTGTTTTATCTGCCAATCGAAAAGAAATTCATCTCCAGTGACACTTCATGTGGTAAATATTGACCCATCCAGTGGTTGTGTAGTCCTCAGCAGCGCAGGCGACACTATTCAGAGACTACTGAAGAAGGAGGAGGTCCCGCGGAGCAACGTGCTCCTATAGGAATACAATACTTTTAGGGGCGGTGGAGCACCCCGAGGACGCGACCCTTATTGCTCTCGAAGGAACGAGAGTAATCGCAGACTTCATTGGTGAGGAGGCTGAGTGAATGATCTGCAACAATGTCAAGGTTATTGTGAGGGAGAAGGACGCCTAAGGACACGCCTGACGTCACAGCTAGCAGGTGGAGGAGTGACGTCATCGAGGCAACAGAAGTGTCGCCCACCGCTGCTCTTGCGGATCACTGCTCCAGTTAAGGAACCTTCCCTCCCAGTTACCCCGTGTTGGGTACAAGTTCCTCTATGGAACGGTGAGCATATTTATTATTAATACTGTGATTCATGTACTAGGATGAACTTGAAATAATATATATAGGTCTGTGTGTATTTATATTATAATGGGAGTGACAGTGAGGCATAACTGACTCAACGAAGTGTAGCCTAGCACTGTCCAGCGACTATTTACCATTAAATATTAAGTGACAGTTAAAGTTATTTTGAAGCCTCTTAATTCTTTGTGAAATACATTAACGTGCTAAAGTAATATCATAGCTGCCTGAATAGTTTGAATAGATCGGGAGTCAGGGCTGTAGATAAGCAACGGTTGCATTATTTTCAGCATGTCATGGTCGAGTTGTTTGGGCATATATTTAGGAGTGCCGGGTGTGCAGGTTCGAATCCTCATCACGGCTTCTGGAAAGAAATTAGAAAAATAGGTCTGGAATCTGTACATTAGAGTGGCATGTTAAACTGAGGGTCCCCGAGGGCTATTTGTGTTGTCATGAGTACCACACACCACAGTTAATTGAAGTCATTTAATAAAAATTATTGCAGAATATTTTTATTACATAAACTTAAACACATATAATGTGCATACAAATGGTTTAGCGGCTAGCTATGAATGCAACGTAATGAATTAGTTTAACAAAAGAAACATAATGTCTGCTAACCACATTCACAGCACCGTCGGTAGATAAGCATTCAAGTTTACTGAAATCCAAACCATAGTCATGCAGAACGTGCTCGACATTCTTAAAGATGTCCTGTTGTAGTAGTGTCATGCATGGGGATCAGTTCAAGCAGTTCTTCATATATATTAAATTCACTGTTACAGGCCCTGATAAAAACCACGCACTGTGCTATTCCTGGGATGTCAACGGTCTCATCAATAGCAATAGAAAAAGTCTTTTAGAACTCTTAACTCTTTTGCCTCACATCTGCATTCATGTTTGTTTTGTGATTTTTAAATCTTTTAAAAGGTGATAGTTTAAATGATAAAAACTGCAATTTTGGCCGTTAAATGACCAAATTACGGTAGCTTTTGTGCTGATCCTTCATACCGACAGTTAGAAGGGCTGGGGTCCAAGAGCTAACAGCTCGATCTTGCAAGCACAAATAGTAAACAGAAACACACACACACACACACTCACAAACACACACACACATTCCGCTACAACGCGTCAGTCTTCCCACCTATCGACCTCCACACCACTCGCCTGCCTCTCAACAACCCTGACACCAGGTGCACAATGTTGAATCTGCGAAGTATGAATGCGAGAAATATCTTGGAATCATGATTAATAGGGAAATAAGGCAACAGTTCTATTCATAACTAAGTGGAATACGGGAAATAGGATAAATAGTTTTATTTCAAGAAAGGCTAGCAAGAACACATATAATATTAATCTTTATATAGACTATAGCTACCTTACAGCATTTACCTACCTCACAACCCATGTCTACCTCACAACCCATGTCTACCTCACAACCCATGCCTACTTCACGACCTCTGCCTACTTCACAACCTCTGCCTTCTTCACAACCTCTGCCTTCTTCACAACCTCTGCCTACTTCACAACCCATGCCTACTTCACAACCTCTGCCTTCTTCACAACCTATGCCTACTTCACAACCCATGCCTACTTCACAACTTCTGCCTTCTTCACAACTTCTGCCTACTTCACAACCTCTGCCTACCTCACAACCCATGTCTACCTCACAACCCATGCCTACTTCACAACCTCTGCCTTCTTCACAACCTCTGCCTTTTTCGCAACCTCTGCCTACTTCACAACCCATGCCTACTTCACAACCCATGCCTACTTCACAACTTCTGCCTACTTCACAACTTCTGCCTACTTCACAACCCATGCCTACTTCACAACCTCTGCCTTCTTCACAACCTCTGCCTTCTTCACAACCTCTGCCTACTTCACAACCCATGCCTACTTCACAACCTCTGCCTTCTTTACAACCTCTGCCTTCTTCACAACCTCTGCCTTCTTCACAACCTCTGCCTTCTTCACAACCTTTGCCTACTTCACAACCCATGTCTACTTCACAACCTCTGCCTTCTTCACAACCTCTGCCTTCTTCACAACCTCTACCTTCTTTACAACCTCTGCCTACTTCACAACTTCTGCCTACTTCACAACCTCTGCCTTCTTCACAACCTCTGCCTACTTCACAACCCATGCCTACTTCACAACCCATGCCTACTTCACAACCTCTGCCTACTTCACAACCTCTGCCTTCTTCACAACCCATGCCTACTTCACAACCCATGCCTACTTCACAACCTCTGCCTACTTCACAACCCATGCCTACTTCACAACCTCTTCCTTCTTCACAACCTCTGCCTACTTCACAACCCATGCCTACTTCACAACCCATGCCTACTTCACAACCCATGCCTACTTCACAACCTCTGCCTACTTCACAACCAATGCCTACTTCACAACCCATGCCTACTTCACAACCCATGCCTACTTCACAACCTCTGCCTACTTCACAACCCATGCCTACTTCACAACCCCATGCCTACTTCACAACCCATGCCTACTTCACAACCTCTGCCTTCTTCACAACCCATGAATACTTCACAACCCATGCCTACTTCACAACTTCTGCCTACTTCACAACCCATGTCTACTTCACAACCTCTGCCTACTTCACAACCTCTGCCTACTTCACAACCTCTGCCTTCTTCACAACCCATACCTACTTCACAACCCATGCCTACTTCACAACCTCTGCCTACTTCACAACCCATGCCTACTTCACAACCTCTGCCTTCTTCATAACCTCTGCCTATTTCACAATTCATGCCTACTTCACAACCCATGCCTACTTCACGACCTCTGCCTACTTCACAACCTCTGCCTTCTTCACAACCTCTGCCTTCTTCACGACCTCTGCCTACTTCACAACCCATGCCTACTTCACAACCTCTGCCTTCTTCACAACCTCTGCCTACTTCACAACCCATGCCTACTTCACAACTTCTGCCTTCTTCACAACTTCTGCCTACTTCACAACCTCTGCCTACCTCACAACCCATGTCTACCTCACAACCCATGCCTACTTCACAACCTCTGCCTTCTTCACAACCTCTGCCTTTTTCACAACCTCTGCCTACTTCACAACCCATGCCTACTTCACAACCCATGCCTACTTCACAACTTCTGCCTACTTCACAACTTCTGCCTACTTCACAACCCATGCCTACTTCACAACCTCTGCCTTCTTCACAACCTCTGCCTTCTTCACAACCTCTGCCTACTTCACAACCCATGCCTTCTTCACAACCTCTGCCTTCTTTACAACCTCTGCCTTCTTCACAACCTCTGCCTTCTTCACAACCTCTGCCTTCTTCACAACCTTTGCCTACTTCACAACCCATGTCTACTTCACAACCTCTGCCTTCTTCACAACCTCTGCCTTCTTCACAACCTCTGCCTTCTTTACAACCTCTGCCTACTTCACAACTTCTGCCTACTTCACAACCTCTGCCTTCTTCACAACCTCTGCCTACTTCACTACCCATGCCTACTTCACAACCCATGCCTACTTCACAACCTCTGCCTACTTCACAACCTCTGCCTTCTTTACAACCTCTGCCTACTTCACAACCTCTGCCTACTTCACAACCTCTGCCTTCTTCACAACCCATGCCTACTTCACAACCCAT